GTAGAGAAAAGAAGTTTAGACGAAGAAAATATATGAGGACAGTCAAGTCAAAAGTCTGTATTCAAAACAAGGGAGATTGCTGCAACGTTGTTAGCAGAAAAGGTTCTCCGTTACATGGCCACTCCATTGAAATCACATCACAGCAGGAGCATGTGCATTTCGTGTTTAATAATATTGATGATCCTGGCACAGCGGAAGAAGACAGAAAGACCAAGGTTGATAATAGATTGGAAGAGAGTCAAAACTGTACAAACTGTGATGCTTCTGGTGTTGATGTTAAAGATTATTGTGTAATAAATGAAGATGTAAACGTATCGAAGGCCCCAAAATGTTCTGATGAGAAAACTTGCTTTTCGTTATTTTTAACTGAGGCAGATGCAACTGTTGAGAAGTATTGTAATATTACTGATATTGAAAAAAATATTAATTCTCCATCTCTGGATTCTGGTAAAGTTGTTAGTGGAGATGAACAGTGTGGAAGAAAATCAGTCAGTAACATGACAAAAGTATTATTTTCAGATGTTCAAAGTAATGTTTCATGTGGAAGGGAATCCTTGCTTTCAAAGAGCAGTGAAAATATGTGTAATTCTGGAGAAAGGGAAGAAGAAGGTGGTGATGATGTGACATCTACTGAACAACTGATTGAGTCTGGAATGTCACAGGATATCAGCATGGATACTGCTGCTGTGTGTCATCATAATGACCTCCCACAGGTAAGTACTTACCAGAGAGAAGTACAAATAGCATCTTGCAGGTATAGCATTGTGTCACTTCTATACAGAGGCAGAATAACAAAAACTCCTATTTAGAATTTGCGTATTCAGCAGATGGTTAAGTCCAAATCTGAAACAGTTTTGACTAAACGTATCAACGTTATCTAGTGCTGTTATGTTGCAGAAGTTGACAAAATTGGAGAGTGCAGTTGTGCCCTATTTCAAGGTACTGTCCTGGTATTCACTTGAAGGGACTGAGGAAAACAATTAATACCTCAGTCAGGATAGGCAGTGACTGGCCAAGATTTATACTGGGTAACTTCAAAACAAAAATCAAGTGCATCTCTATAATACAGGAGCTTAAATCCCCTATTCCTGTATGACAAACATAAATTTGGTGTATGTGGTGGTAGTCACTGCAGGTGATCGTAAATCAGAAATAGATTTTTTACTCCCATCCAGTAAGCAGAGGCCAGAAGAGTCAAAGGACCATAACAAGAGGCATTAAAGATAGTCTTATATTTACATGGTTAATACGATTTGATCACACTGTTGTAGGATGACTGTAGAGACAAGCTATCAATAATATCATCACCAACCTCATCCCCAGTGAGTCATGAATTAGACTTGGTGATCAGCAGTTGCAGCACACCAAAAAGTGAGAAAACAGATGCACTGGCTCGTTATAATCAAGATGGCGGTAATGAAGGTGGTTTAGAGTCATACTTGGACTCTGGCAAGAAGAAAAAGAGATTGCGTTTGAACCAGTAAGTGTCAGTGGGAAGTATGTTACAGAGCGAGGTTTTAGATTTTCATGGTTATTAGTATGAAGATAGGTCTCTTCTGGGATGTTGTGCAGTGTAGTCTGGTAGATATTGACTGGCATTTCAGAGAAACATACTGCCTTCATCATCAGGGTGATTGTGCTCCTCTAAAATATTGATCATCTGCCAGACTGCATGGTGCAATATCTCAGAAGACAGCCATCTTGTATGTTACAGAGGTTGAGAAAGGTAAACAGTATAGATTATATTAACAAAAACAAAATTTGAAGATGTGCTTTAATTTTTCAAATGAGTTATTTGTGATTTTACTTTATTATTGGCCATGGTGTTAATTTATTACACAACAGATGTCACATTGTGCAAGAGATGATCTTGTTCCTCTATTTTATGTACAGATCGGGATTGGCTGCTCGACTTCAGAAGCTGCTTGCCCGTGCACAATCTTCCACGCGCATCTGGCAATATGAGGCAAACCATTTGAATCTTTTTCATTCCAGGAACAGAGGAGTTTTTCTCTTGGTCCATTCAGTGTGGACTGAGTACTCCCACTTGCTGGTTCTTTGTTCTACATATTCTGGTAAGTAGGTGTACCCATCTGCTACCCGTTCTTTCACTGACATGTTCTGATGTAATTGTCGTGCAACAGTGTGACCCAATAATTTCCTTTCTTCCCATTATTGTGCAACAGTGTGTTAGAAGGGGATCTCTGGTCCAGTTGTATGACAGTGATCTCAGTAATCCAAATTGTCTACCCCATTAGGAGACACACGGACATGGATGACACATGAAGTCTTCTTCACTCACACAAGTGTGTGAAGAACACCAATATAATATTGTTTTCTTAAATACTTCAAAGGACTATGTCAGTGTACAAAAGTATTTGTTATAATTTTTTGTATGTAGGTAAGCTTGTTTCTCCACGAAATTCAGAAGATGGTGATTCAAGTAGCAGTGATGTCAGCATGAGGATAATACTTGTATTAGATCCAGTTTTGCATATTCAGATCAAACCATGGTCTACATTTCGGATTTACCCACCTTGGTGAGTTTGTTTTTTATTATCTGTCTCGTATTCATCTTTTTTTGGCTCAGATGCGCCACAGGGACAAAGAAGAAGGAAGGGGGTTAGGGAACAAGATTAGCAGAAAATGGAAGTGAAGTGGAGATATAATTATTTCAAACTTAGTACTTATTGCAACTTTCTCTTTGTCTCTGTCTCTCTTTTTTACTGCATTAATAAACTTCTCTGAATTATAACTTCTCAGCAGAGCTTATATATTTTTGGTAAGGAGTTATGGTATCAAACAGATTTCTTAAATGAAACTACTGCAGATAATGTGTTTTGACATTTGTTTAGGCAAAGTCTAACAGTGACACATCTAAAAATAACTCTTGTGCTGGGTGTCAGTTGTCTAGAAGAAGTACAGACATTGGAGAAGAATCACAAGAATCTGTCGTCCCTTGTAAAATCACGACAGCAGGTGACAAATATTCTCTACACATGCCCCTGTTCATGCCTTGAAGGTAACTGCTTCAAAATGTCATTATCGTTACGGTACCTATTATTAGTTAGCTTAGTTGAATTGTGCAGATTTTATGAAAAGAGTCTTCTCTTATTCTCCGAGATCTTCCTAAATGTATTCTTCCTGTGGGTTTGATTTAATTTATTCTATATTTAATAATACCTTATTTTTACATCTTGTTCTTTCCAATTCATTCTACAGCTTTCTGAATATAAATTGTGTTACCAATGAACTTTGTACATTGAATACAAATGTAAAAGGAATACTGAGAAAATAGGAGATATTAGTAAACTGGGAGTGGAAGGAATTTGAATTTTCAAAGGATCACTGTTGCTACAAAGCATTTTATTGTGTTATGCTACAGTGTGTGTTTTATAATTCCTGTTTTCTTTTTAGATCTAAGTATCGGTAAAAAGTGCCAGTTTCACTTTCCACATAATGGTTTGGAGTTTTTGGAGTATCTGTTGCCACAGATTGTACCAATGGGAACACTGCATAGCAAAGCAGCAGCTCATGTTGGTCATGTGCCGAACATGGAAGGTTTAGACTTGCAGGTCACGAGGATGGGCAGCATAGAAGTTATGGTCAACCAAGGGTGCTTAATTACTGATGACAGTTATTTGCAGTTATGTATACTGCAAATATTTTGCTACAAGTCAAGGTTATTATCACGATGTTACTAATTTTTATTTATGATGTGATGTTGGTACATGCAGGGCTGAACATAAGGTCTCTGATCCTATCCATTGACATTTCCGATGATGTGCGTCGTATTATGACAACTGTCTTTATTCTTCTCTTATTCTCACATAAGCTGTTTGCATGTGTGTTCACTCTGTCCTTGCTTTGCTTTTGTATCCCACATTTTTCTAGTTGTTGATCTTATCAGTGCATAATCTCAGAATGAACTACCAAAACAGTTTTATGTGATGAGCACTACCAGATTTTTCTGTATATGTTTGCTCTCCCAGAGGAGATAACAAGCTGAATAAAGATGGTGCAACCTCTGACGTCTGTTGGTCAATCCTGGGCTGTGACGCAACAGGCGAATGCTGTGAGGTGGTGCTGGACCCTGCCCCATCTGATGCTCTGATGTCACAAACGTGGACAAAGATCAAGACCAGGCAGGCTGTTGGTCACTTCTACAGATTAACAGGATTCATCCTAAGGAGACGCATTCACAAAACAAAGTGAGTCTTATCCATATTTTATTGTAACGCAAAATATAAAATGAATATACAGTTGTTAGTTTTTGTTGGGAAAATATGTTACAAACTACCATTTTAACACAAGATTTGTTTAAGGTATTAAGTGTAAATCTCATGTAATCTAATGCTAATTACTATTTAATTTTGAATAGGAGTCATGGTTTGTGGTCACTCATCTCTAAGTGTAAGAAACAAATGAGGAGACAAAGCCTGAATGAAAAGGACAAGAAGAAACATTCAGAATTAACAGCGTCATTTGTCTCTTCTTGCAATTTGAAGGGAGAACAAGCAGTGAGTGAGTTACAGTTGATGGAGTGTGCAGTTATTCCTCTGCGCAGAGAGTCGCAGTTAGAGGGCAACTCACAGGAAATGCACGTCAGAAACGTGATGGACCATGACACTTCTGAAATTCAGACATGTGTTAAGAAAGATCAGCTGTTTGTCTACGTCTTCTCACCAGGTACAGAGTCCTGGGAGATGAAACTATATGACAGAGCTCCATATGGGCAGAGCATCTCTGTACCTAAACCTCAGTTTTCTTGTCTGGCACATTCACTGCGAAAGGTAAGACTCAGTAGGAGCCATTATATTATTTTGAAGGGAGATCCTTGTCATAAGTCGCACACCCTGATTTTTTGTAGCGTATTTCGTAGAAATAAATATGCAAGGGAAAACGAGAACATTCGGTATTTTTATAGGCTTAATAAGTGAACCTGCTCTGAAGCAATATTTCCATCATTTGCAGTGGTAATAGCTAAAAAACAGTTCATAAAAATTAATCTTACCAATGTTTCTAATGGTTTAAGTCCCTGATTTTTACCACAATAGGTGATTCGTTGAAGATATCATTTTGATATGATATAATATGCTTTCCATTCCACAGACTGATGATGGTCCAGCTAGACACACATATGTAGCTAAACTTCTTTATGCCACAGATGATTACCTGTATGTGACAGATTCATCTGTCGGCCATGTTGTCTCACCAGGTTATGCGATTGTGTCCGTAAAGCCTTCGTGTTTCATACCGTCAGAGATCAGTGCTAACAGAGCGTCAGTAATATTTCTTCAAGATGTTCAGTTAGACAAAGGTACCGTTTATGTAATATGAATAGAATTACCATAACATTTTTACTTGTTTTCTACTTTGGCGGTTTCCTCATTACTTTGAAGACAGCAGTCTTCTAGGTTTGTAGTGTGGTAGAAGTTTATCTATGGTTCACTGTCATGAAAACCTCAAATCCTCATTACTTTGTAGTTGCTACATATAAATTAGGCATTTCTACATGTAATTATTTTAATTAATATTTTGCTGTATGGGCTTAGTAGTGCAGGTAGAATGATAGAATTTATTTTCTGCAGGAAATCTGAGTGCAGACAAATACAGCTGGCTTACTCCTCTTTCCAATGTGGATACCAGAAGAGAAACAAGTGCGTGTTTTCCATTGGTAACTGATGAGGAGTTTAATTTAATTTCCAATCTAGAAGTTGCATTACCAGACTTTACATTAACATCAGCCGCAAAGGAGCTTGTTACGATCACTGGTTAGTTGCCCCGTTATGCTTTGAAAATATGTTCTTGTGTGCCATTAGCACATTTTTTACATATCGTGAGTGCCAGAAATTGATTTAATGAATTAATATTTTTGTACTGTTTATTTTTCATGCTGAAGGAACTGTTCTACATGTAGATGAAGAAACAGCATTTTCTTGGCCAGTGTGTGGAATTTGTGAAAATGACTTACTGGTGGAACTAGGTCATAACCAGTATCTGTGCCAGAATTGCGATTCATCCTCACATACATTCACAAAAATGTCTCTCGACATCTTCATATTGTGCCCTCCAATTCCTGATTCTTGCAAAGTGAAAGTGAAGGTAAGACCGCGGATGCAACGGAAAGAATTTCTCTGTCGCCAAGTGGGTAGCTGTAGTGTTGACAGCTGGCAAGTTAACCAGTGCATATCTCAGCCAACTTGCCGCTGATTTTGTGACTTTTTTTCGATTCTATACTTGTCTTCGAGTAAATTATTTTTATGTGTCTTCACAGCTAAAAGTTGTAGAAAGGCACCTATGTAGCGTTGCAATGTCCGTCTGTTCAAATGCAATATCTTAAGAACTATCGAATGAATTTTCATGGAATTTATATTGGGAAGTGTTACTAAAGTTTGTTGACACATTCTACATTTTGTTAAAATTTGACAACAATAATAGAGATGTTACATAAAACCTTTCCACAGTTTGTATGAAAGTACTAAATGTTTGTGATAAAATCTCGGCCCCAGTGTTCATATATGGGATCTTGAGACTAATACAGAAGAAGAATCATCATCACGTTGAACCAAAATGAATTTGGATTAAGATGTGGATTTTGTACTGTTTACTTATGGTAAAGAAAATTTTAGACCCATTGGTATGTTACAAGGCAAGACATGTCTCTCTTTTTTGTGTTTGCTTCTCATGTTGCGAGACTCATGATTTGCCGAAGTATTAAAATAATTATTTTCTTTTAACAGCTGCAGCAGGACACAATAATGAATATGCTTCCAGCCTCACAGGATAACAATCAGGTAACTGTTTAGTCTTTTTTTTTTCATAATTACAGTTCTCTAAAATGTTAACCATGCTAAGCGTCAGTTGAAATTAACCCACCAAAATTCTCTATGCATTCTTTTTGTCTCCCCCATCACAGCCATATTGATTTCACTACTTTAGTGATTGTGGGTGACTTGTAATTGTTCTAATTGTATAATGTTCTTACTTCAGCTTCTTACGTACATAATTATGAATGTTAATGATAATGTACTTGTACCAAACCTCTTATCTTACATCAGTTAGTTTCCAAGTTTCCCAGATGATGGGTCTGGTACCTGTGTAAGAAATATTTTTATTGACATGTTTTGCAGCTTAGAGTTTTCATCGAGTTTGATATGCGTGTACCATTTTGAATGCTATTGTGTCTTAGTTTGCTTTTGTAGAAATCACACTTAGGCCAATCATTATGCAACTCATTTTTTTCTAGGGCTATGAATTATCATCAGTGCTTGGTCATGTAGTTGGACCACTTCGCTGTGCAGTAGTGAGAGCTGGAACTATGAACTTTGAATTGAATGAAATACCCAAAACTGTATTGAAACATCTGTGATGGCTGTTATGACTGCAGATATATTTTTATATTGGAAATACAGACATTAATGGTGACTGCGGTATATGTCATCAGATTACGAGCATCAAGGTCACAACATTTATTCAGCGTTGTTACATGAATGGAGGATCTGAGGTGGGTGCAGACAGCTCAGAACTTACAGCATAGCACAACTAGCAACACTATATGGTAAGGAGAGGGCGAAGTTCTGTGACTTTGAAGCGTGTAAATTGGTGACAGCTGCTATAAATATATTTAAAATGTAGAAATAAATATTCTGTTATTTTATACTTTTGGTGATTGTTTTAATTTGCCATTAAAAATTCTCTTCTGGCTCTCTGGAAGTATACTGGCACAGTGGGAATTCATTTTTTTATTTGCTTTGAGTGGTCTAGAATAACGCAGTAATTAGCAAGGTGACTCCTTATTATCGTGATGGGGTGAGACTATGTCTCTGTGAAACTGTGCGTCTAATAAGCTCTTTGCCCATTCCTCACGTGATATTTGAGTGAATATGGAGCAGCAGTGGAATTATATTGAAAAGGAAAAACCAGAGAACTTGGAGAATTACCTGTCCCAGTTTCAATGTCTCATTATTTTGTTGACGTACAGAACAGTATTTCTAGACTGGTTTATTGTTTCATAATTGATTGAAGTTTACTGTTTGACTGAATAATCGACTATCTAATAATTTATGTGGTACAGTCTTCCTACAACAGTTAATAATTATTCATGATGACTTACCAATAAGGAGAAAATGTAACAGCTTTGCTGTTTGTTGAAAACTGTTTATACATTTTGTTGTTGTGTAGTTTATGTGGGTTTAAGTCATATGGGTGTCTTACAAATGCTGTCTTTTATTAAAAATATAATATGTTCAAAGTAGGTTAGTGTAGATATTATTTTTATCCCAAAAAACTCAACTACCAATTTAACATGGCGAACTTTTCTTTTTTATATCTCCAGATAGAAGAAATGATTGCATATATCTTTCTCATTACCACTCACACCCAGATTTTTCATTTGACTTTCTTTATAACTCATTTATAAGCGTAACTCCAGAAATGCCTTTCTGGTTTGTCATGGATAATTTAATGGAGACTAACTTGCAAAAGGTGCTTAAGAGGATAAAGTATTAACAATTTAGGATGTAAATGAGGTGTTTAATTATTTACACAAGTCACCTAGTTTTATTTGTGCAAACGCTGAGGCTGTGATAGGTTTAATATTTGCCGTGCATTGGTGAGATACTGAATGTAACAATTTTCCGGGGGAAACCTTCCTGCAAGATTCTGCTTGGAAGCACAAGAAGGAGATCAGAGAATAACGTTAAGCTGACTAAGGAGAAGTTGTAACTGATGATTACAAAATGTATTACACATGCTTTTATTACATAACAATTAGTGCATTTCACATTGATTATAACTTAGGGCCCTTAATTTCCAACTACATGTGTAGTATATCAAAGACTATTCATTGGACAGAAGAACACATGGCAAAAGTGCACTTCAATTTTAAATTCAATTATAGGGGAAGTAAAGTTATTTTCGTCGTTGAAGAGAATCGCATCAATCGTAATTGTATAGTAGCAGGTCTACACAATTTTCTTCTTGTGGTTGAAGGTGAGAGGTGAGAACGTCAACAGGCTTCGGGCAGCTGAGGTTGTAATCTGCAACACAAATTTGAATGAACATTGTGTTGAATTCACTGTAAAATCTTCTGGTTATACCATCATGCTAAAATGTGAAAATGCTAGTTACCTGCATTTTTGAAGAATTTGCTGCTTTCATATCCTGAAGAAATCATAAAGTTGTTTTATGTTTATGAGAAATTTATGTCCTTTTCCAAACCTTAAAAATATTTTGACATTAATTTCTTTTATGTCTTACATTATTTCTGAATGACCTGTTTTGTTATACATTAGAATTCTCTCGAAAGAGTAGTCCTCAGGATTTGATCCTCAGGTTTATTGGTTGAATTGAATTGTTTTTAAATTCCACTTTGGTAATGACAAACACCGAAAGTTTACAAAGGACTCAGGAACCAATAATTTGGTATATCATTACCTGATATATGCACATATTGTGTATGTATGTTTAGTGTGCACTGTCTAACAGCGTTAATATTCTGCATTTATTTCTGCTTAAATTTTCTTACCCAGATTCCTGATCTTCGTTATATGATGAAGAAGTACTGTAAGAAAGAGAGAAACATTTAAGTACGGAAGTGATTTCGCTGAGAATATCAGGCATTTCAAAATAATGTTATTATATAATGCCTTACGATACAGGCTGGATGGTGAATTAAATTTCAATAAATGTCTGAAATGAAAGGGAATGTTCTCGGCAGGGCGTGTATTCCACATGGCGATATACTAATGCATAGAATAGTTATGATGGGAAGAGACAGCTTTGAGAACTGAGCATTGATGTGGGAATCGCATTAAAATTAATATTAAAGAAAGGAAGTGAGTTGGATTTTTCTGGGTCCCAGAATAAAAAGATTCTTAAAATGAGCTAAAGTGGCATAAACTTTCATAATGCAGTAGTGGCATAATACAAGTTAACTCAAACCCTGAAAGAGCTTGTTTCATGTAGAGATGGCTGTCTTGTGGGATCTTGCATTGTCTAGTCTGGTAGAAATTGACTGGTGGTTACCCTGATGATGCAGGCATTAGGCACCTCTGTAACACCAGTTAGTTTCTACCTGATTACTCAGTGCAAAATCCCAGAAGACAGCAGTTTTTATGCTTATTGCTGTAAGATCCTGAAATCTCACTTAAAATGGTTGACTTTGTTCTGGCATTCTAAATGTATAGTAACAAATCGATGGAAACAGCTTTTATGAGGTTAGGTTAATGTTTTTCAGGTTTTGGCCTTCTGGGGTATGATGCCGCATAATCTTTGTGGTAGTGTAGATAGAAACTGTCTGCAAGAGTACGTGGTGTCATAACCCATAAGATCAGAACTCGGAGTCTCACCATCATGAATCCCGAATCCCACGCAAAGTGGATATAGGGCTGCATTTTTATGATCAAATTTTTTTGTCGCTGTCTTACCTCTGGGTCTGCTTTGTAGAAGCACTGATTCAGTTTCATTGCCGTGTCTGGAGCGCTGCTTCCAGCTGCAATACAAAAATTATAAAATGTCAGTGTAATGACGTCACGTGTTCACGTACAGTTACTTCAAAAGCCACCTGTTGCTGAAATAGGAATATAATTGTTGTTATTAGAGGTGGCCATATTGGTGTTAAATTGTTTTGTGTAGAAACGTTTTTATTACACCAGCACCTGTTCGACGTCATTCTAAAACATCTTATTTTTCCCAGTGATATGATCAGGTGTTTCATGGCCCTTTACATATATTTTTTCTTCTCCATCACTGCGTCATGTAGATCGGTCAATGTCAAAGATGTCAAATGGCATCCCTAGTTATGAAATTTATGCTTAAGTTTTGACATACTTTTTCATCCTATTTTTGGTAAAAAACATTTTTGGATCTGGAAACTGGGATAACGGAAATTGCCCAAAAATATTTAACAATTTGTCATTTATAATTGTGGTATTGAAGCGTACAGATGAATATACCATAATATTAGACAACTCTTTTGTTGTTTGTGAAATTAACAGATTATGTTGTTTGAAGGATAAAAGGTTCTGACGGATAAGACATTCTCATTTTTTGTTTACTGGGAACAAACACTTCAGCAATCCCACAGGATATTTCACAACATTTCTCTACTCACTGATACTTTTGCAGACACCGATCATCTTGCCACCTCTCTCCTGCATGCTCTCTGGAAGCATACTGACCATCGTGTCCATATCTGGCACGCCACTTTCATCCATCTACAACAGGGATACATCAGCTTAACACGACAGCAGCGTTTCCTAAAATTACATCGTTTTCAGCGCCTCTCGTAAAGGTCAGTGTATTTAATTGTTTTTATGGAGCGATACTTGACTCGTGTCAAGAAAATCTGTAACACGTGGTGATGTGTTGTGCAGTTCCTGTCGGGAAGTGACGGTTGCCTTCTGGTTTCTCGGCGAAAACCCGTGTAACCGTGGGATGTAATTTATTGACAAAAGCAGAAACACGGGCTTTTGCGTTATGTCTTCTCTGCTTCGATAATAATTAACAGTTTTATTGAAGTGCTTCATAGATATTTAATGGATAAAGAAATTATCTGTTTCTATAGAAACTGTGCGTTTAATATCGTGTCCACTCATCATTCAACCTTAACCCTTGATAGTTTAATCCACTGAATATTTTCAAACTGTTTATCTAAGATTAACGTCATCCGCTCTTTGTGTTTAAAATTGTCTTTCCCCGGCATTTTCGAAGGACCTCTGAAACACTGGTTAACATCTACCAGACTACATGGTGCTACGACCCAGAAGACATCCGTCTGTATGCATTACTTCAGTGAGGGTTACGCCTACACATCTCGCTGTTTAATTTTTTGTGAAAGCGATGAATGATTAAGGATTTAGAAGTATGGCGCCCGTGGTTTATTTGACAGCCGTATTCTCCTGGATTTTGCATGGTGAGACGGAGGAAGACATCAAGAGTCTTGGGTTAGAAATTTTGCGAAGATCGAAACCACATACCGCTGTGCCCACCTGTTCAGTAAAGTTGTTTTTATCAGAATTAGAATAAGTATCATATACTTACCGCTCCA